GCGGTGACTGGGAAAAGGACTTAGGGGTTATGGGAGATAACCAACTGAATGTAAGTTCACAGTATGATATTGGGCTAAGAGCAAATGCAATCATTAGATGAATAAGGAGTGTAAGGGATATATGGGACAGATGTCTTGAATAATTAATGATTAATAATTGTTCCTTCTTGCCCTCAAATTAGAAAAGTTATCTACCTCTGTTTATCTCAAAATAAGATCTACTTATGAGGACAATAAGAAAATGGTTCACATCATGTGACAGTAAGGACCCACAGATCAGCCAAGTTTGAGTGTTCCCCTCTCCAGCTAGAAACTAAAATAGCTAAATAAGTATTGTTAATCACCTAGGCAAGAATCTCTCCTAATATGCATATGTATAAACCTCCTTCTCTCTCCCTAGTTAAAAAGAACTCCGAGTTTCCAAACAAAAGTGGCCTGTTGCACATTGAGTGGGTCAAGAAAAGAGACGGGTGGGGAAGCTGCAAGTTGAACAACTTAGAACTGTGGCTATAAAATTGAATGTTAAATTGGGCTGTTACCCCCAAGAAATCCAAGCCACATGTTTTCATCCCAAATTATAAACTGTACATTGTTTCCTTGTAAATCAAATTTATTATGAATCATCTTTCACCCCAAATTAGAAATGGCACATTTGTTTGCATTGTGAGTCAGATCTATATCCTGTATGTGGAAAATTACTCTTGTTCTGTTGTAAGTCCTAAATAATGTGAAATACATATTGTAATCAAAGAATGTATGGAGTATGTCCTCCATATTTAGAAGATTACAATAAAACCAACAAAATCCTTTCAAATTGTTGAGCTCTTTAAGTAATAGGAAATGACTGACACAAGGAAGGAGAAATGTAAAGATGTACAGCAGGGTATAACTTTGGGATATTAAGAGAAATTGCTTAGAATGGGGGATCCCAATTTGTGCAGGCAAATAATGAAATAGTTTTTGAAATGACTCAAACTTAAAGCCTCTGCTAAGAAAAGGATTAAAGACATTTGTTGTATACCAACAACCATGTACTAGATACTAATGGAAGCAGCAGAGAAGTAAAGCTCAAACCTGAGTACCTACTTGGTATGTGTCCTATAGGAATTGGAGGGTGGCCCCCTCCAATGAGCGCTGAAACAAGGGGGTATAAAACTGAGGTCACGATGTACTCAGAGTTGACAGAACCTAACACAAGTAGCTGCAGAATCCTAAATGCAACCACCACCCAACTCAATCATGTGGAAAGGACTCTCCCTCATCCCAAGGTTAAGAGGATAAGCAGAGGTGGTGAAATTTCATTTCAAACATGGTATTTCCCCTTCTATTCTTCAATATAAATAACTGTAGGTTACCTTGCTGAATCTACACACTCTAGTGAGTCTCAAGTAATCATATTTAAGATCAGTTTGTTTGGATTTCTAAAGGAATTAGAGATTGAAAAGAATTGTTTTAAGCAATTGCTTTTAACATTCTAAACTTGTCCCTTTTGGACTAGTCTAATAGAGGATTGTGGTTAGTGCCTTAGAGACAGATGCACCTTTGGAAGTGTGATGTTTTAGGTACTAAAGAACTGAGAATTGTTGATCATAAGTAAATGTAATAAGAAATATTGCTAATTTGACTGGTCGTTAATATAATTACTGAGCCTCAATTCTAGTCTGTGATAATTGCTTGCAAGACTATTGTGTGTATGTGGTACACACAGTTGGTTGTGTCTGTTTGAGTAATGAACTGTTGATTATATACTAATGTGGTTTTGGGTAATTAATAATAAATTGTTGGTTAAAAATAAGCAAATGTCCCGATGTGAGAGATACTGTTCAAGTTAAAAATTGACATGAAAAGAACTCCGTGTTTAAACTAGTAAGCTAACACTTTGAGATTATCCTATTAGATCAGGGGAGGGTAAACTACAGTCTGTGGGCTGGATCCAGCCCATCAGGGCTTTCAATCCAGCCCCATGGTGCAGTGAGGCTAAGGCAGGCTCCCTGCCTGCTCGCAGAAGCGGCCAGCACCATGTCCCTGCGGCCCCTGGGGGAGCGGGTGGGGCAGAGGGCTCTGTGCACTGCCCTCGCCTGGAGGCACTTCCCCTGCAGCTCCCATTGGCCAGGAATGGGGAACCATGGCCAATGGGAGCTTCGGGGGGTGGTATCCGCAGGCAAGGGCAGCGTGTGGCAGAGCTGCCTGCCCCACCCCACCCCCAGGAGCCACTTCCGGAAGCGGTGCGGGGCCAGGGCAGGCAGGGAGCTTGCCTTAGCCCTGCTGCCACCCTGGAGCTGCTCGAGATAAGCACCACTGGGCCGGAGCCCACACCCCTCCTGCACCCCCAACCCCATCTTGAGCCCCCATCTGCACCCCTCCTGCCCTCTCCCAAGAAAGGAAGAGAGTTTGCTTCTTCCTTTAACATCTCTCCCAGAAGGCCCAGCTTGTACTGGTTTCTGCTTTTCGCAAGGCACAGCTGTTTAATCCATTTTCTACTACCCTAAACGCGCATGGCTGTCAGCTACTTTTTCCAGGCCGACCTCAGGCAATCTCTTTGGGCTAGGCTTTTATTAAGCCTGGTTTAGCTGGGGGTACAAGAGAGGGTATATAGTACCTCAAACTTGATCAAGAAATCAGAGTTGAGAATTTCTGGCAATCCTCCCTAGAGTTTTTGTAAAAAATCATGTAGCATCTACTTACTATGTAAGAAGCTTTCTATAATCACTTAAATCAACATTTCTGATGGCAGTGAACACCAGGCTTATGAAAAATGTGTTTAAAAGAAAATACATTGAGTTATTTCACATGGAAACAGGCCAGATCACTCTTGTAGAAAGACCCTTTCAAAGGCTGTTTACCACTGTACACACTGTTTCATAGAACACCCCTTTACCCCCTCCCCCCAACAGATAATGCTTTTTTCATTGCCAAGGCTGATCTAATATTCCTCAGGAATATTTCTTGAAATACAAATGACAAGATGCATGTCCACATAAGATAAGCAACTTGGTTAGAAAGCTGTTACCTAGCCAACATCACTAAATGACTTCTCAAAAAGAAATTATCAGTTATCTGGCAGGTCTGTCATGACAAACTGTTCTAAAGATTGCAAGCTATTTATGAAATTCTGAAGTTTTACCCCTTGAGAATCTGATTGAAATTGATTGATGTTGTGCCATGATAGTAAGCTCTAGAATATGATTTAGTCTCTCTCCCATGTATGAAAACTATACATATGTAGAAGGACCAGGATTTGAAAACAAGTTACAGCTTTTTGGCTTTACAGTAGTTTCTTGGGGAAGACTAAGAGGCCTTAAGTTTCAGTTATTTACCACTGAGGTGCCTATATAGCAAACTGCAATGATATGTCTTGTTTTTGTAATCATAGGCAGCAAAACTCCTTTATGAATCCCGGGACCAATAACAGCAGCAAGTTGTCTGAGATCTGAGGGAAGAGACCAGCTCTATGAAAAACCGCTTCTCACTTTTTGCTAGTTACTTTGATCCATGTAATTGGTATTATGAACCCCTCTCTACCCCAAATGTGGTTCACTATGTAAGCACTGGCAAATGCAATGTGAGTATTTTGGAACCATGAGTATTCACTTATCTAGTGTGCAATATGTATACAATTAATGCTTTAAACATAGCCTCATGTTTAAGACTTTATATTATTTTGTTAAGTCTTCTTATTGGCACTTAATATGGAAAATGAAAGTATGACCTGCACTACAGCTAAAATGTATAGCACAATTTTTGTAGTACCAATTATGTATACTATATGTATTTAATTTGTTGGCTACAAACAGCAAACAAATGTATTTGTAAGTCTCTTCTACAGAGAATAGCTTTTTGGGTATAGATCTCAGGTTTTTTTCTTATCCAAATGTTGAAGATCAATGTACAATGAAATCTGCCTTAGATACCCTTTTATAGAAATAATCATTTTGGGTTCTCAACATGTGATCAAACACTTTAAAGATAAGTTTCATCAAATACCACAAACTGGGTTGTATGAACGTGACCTTTTGGAGCCACCCTTGCGTAGAAAAATATAAGCTTCCAGAAAATGATTTTGAAGTTTTGTATTCATTTTACTTGTAATGATCTTTTGCTAATTAATCAGATTATTGTAATTGTTTGGACATATCGTATATAGTATTTTAAATGTACAAGTCTTATGGATCAAATGAATTCATACTTATTGAAAATAAGCAAAATGCTCAAGATAGCATTCACTTTAACTTGCTAAGCAATTTAAGCTAACTTTCAACCTTAAAGACTTCAAGATTCTTGGTTTGAGTGGAGGAGAGAATAAAAGGTTATTTACAATACCCAAAAATGTTCTATGCCTCCTGTCTAAATGATACGGTCTGTTCAAGCACTATAGCATGAACTAGAAAAATCTCATGTATTCAGCTGTTCTAAGAAAACAGCTAGGAGTTTGAACTTCATTCACTACCAAGTGCAGCCAGCAACCATTCAGACTGGCCTTGAAGAACAGAGGCCAGCAGCTTAAGGTGAAAACATTTTTTTTAAGTGACAGGGCCTACCTAGTCACAGAGCAGCACCTCAAGCCTTTTTCTCTTTGTACAGCCAAGATAACCTCTTAGTACTATGCACACCCACTTGTGACTACTAAGTTATCACCATCACTCAGTGTGGATTAGTTTTGCAGGTTAGGTGGACAAAGGTTACAGTACTTTGCCATTGCCTAACATTTTAAAATAAACACTTCAAAATGCAGCCATGCCTTGGCAGTATTTTATTATACACTCATCCAGAGAACATGTAAATGTGCATCATAGGCTCTTGAAATTGTCACATTCATGTAGCCAATGTTCTTTAACAATACCCTTTCACGTTTCATCACTACAATATATACAATTAATGTTAAATGGTGGTAAAAGCAAATTACAGCACTGCATAAATGATATATAAATTATACACAAGACTTGTACATGAAGAGTTAAAGCCAACTGGCCTACACATTAATGGAAGAAAAAATGCAACTTACGAGAAATTCAAAATATATTTCTGGTATATAAAACCATGTACAATTAACTCCAGTGAAGTGCTGCTTTTTTTTTTTTTTGCTTGAAACTACACTATAGTGGAAAGGTTATTGCATAACACACCTTGGCAATAGGTGTCGGGCTGCCAAGATCCACAGAAACTGTCCTTACCAAAATAGCAAATTATTGCCATTCTCAAATCCTCAAACCCCTTGTTTCTCTTCCTCTCATTGACTCTCAATATTAGTACAACTAGCTCTCCACTTTTTAGTCCTTCAACTACTCAGGCAGACTTCAAGTTAGTGTACCTCTTAACTTATCAGACTCTTACCCTTCTCAACTATTGCACTTTCATCCATGCAAACATACAAATCCTTTTAATCTGACTGCAAATCCACTGTTACATGTTCTTTTGTTCCAAACAGACAAGTTCACAGGTTAGTGGGAGTGGGACCTGTAACTTAAATTAGTAGAGGTAAAACTCGTGTAATAAGCTGAATACCAAGAAAATGAACAAGTTAATTAGTGTAGGGGTTTTGAGAAGTATACAAAAACTGTAGTTTTGATTCTGGCTTGTCATTTAAATGCAAACAAAATCTAGATCCTAGCATCTCTAAAGCTTCTGTTTGAGCTTTGTAAAGGGTATCTTTACACTACAGTGGCACAGCTGTAGCATGATGCTTCCTCTAGTAAGGGAAGGGGTTTTTCCATTGCTGTAGGTAAACTACCTCTCATTCAATAGCTGCATGTATGGTAGGGGTTAGGTTGACCTAACTGTGATACAGGATGTAAAATTGTTCACAGCCCTGAGCAATGTAGCTAGGTTGACTTAAGTCTTATGTGTAGAGCAGGCCCTAGACTAGGACTTAGAACATCAGTTAACATATCTTTATTTCTAAATCCTAGAGTATATAGAGCCTTGGTGACTGCTTATGCACTTAACTTGTGAAAGTCTTCTCTGCAGCATACACAGAATTAAGTCAGTAATGAGTAAACAACATTCAGTGGTGTCAAAAAATATCAAATCTTGACATGGGACAGTTATTGTGGGACTAGAACAGATTGGACAGCACATCTGCAATTTGGAAATTACATTTGTGAACATTTAACACAAGAAGCTTCCATCCATGGACTCTTCTAGAAGAGTATTTTTGGTATTTAGAGTAGAGTTGACAAAATACTGTAGATAGGTTACATGGAATGATCTTCATTTACAAACTGCAGATTTTTAAACCCTTGACTGCTGTCCATTAACAAGAGAGAGCACCATTAAAAACAAAGATTATAATTTTATGTCTCCAGTTGAAATGTGATAGAAAAGGATGACTCCAGTGTGGGCTTAAGCTTCCAGTTACCAGCCATGTTTTGCACTGCCAAACATCTGAATTCAAGCAAGGGTTCGCTGCCTAGGCTTTATTCTTGGATATAGCTGCAAAACAAAATCAAAAGTTAAAAAATACCCAAGCTTTAGATGTGATAATTAGAAAATCAAGTCTATAATTAACACACAACCCACTTACAGCCAAAAGGCTACTTCTGATTACCTGAATGGATTGTACAGCAAAGGGTAAGACATTTCATTGACATGTACTAAATATGCCCAGTGGACAATGACATTTCTTTAGATTACAAAGTGACATGCAAGTCTGAACAATTCAAGAGGAGACTGTTAGAGGCTTGAGTTTCCTTACCTAAATAACTAATGCTATTAATTATTTTTATTTCCATCCTTCAGCAGGTGGCAGTAAATGTGTATAACTTTCCACCACTTTATGCAGTCAGAAAGTGAAAGTTTACCTGTTGCATAATTCTGATCTGCATTTTGGCCACATCTACCTTCTGGGCAGGTGAATAGAACACACACTCCCACCAATAGTGATCCATGCCACAAACCTGTTACATCCCAATTATTTAAATATCTTCATGTACCAAATATCAAGGTTGCTCACAACAGCCACCATGGTATACTTAGGGAGCCAGTTTTATCCCTTTGTTTGATCTCATGGAAAATATCACTATTTAATATGATGCTAAAGATCAATTAAAAAGTTATAACCTAAAAAAACTTCAGGCAGCCTAATGATTACTGTTCTGTTTACTGTCCTGGGTTAAATTCCTAACTACAGTATTTTTTCTACAGCAATAATGCTCAGAGAAAGTGCACTCAGGCCCGGGGAAAGAGGGATTGCCTTCTTTGTATCACTGCAGCAATGATTTACCTAGAAGTGGCATAGTTAGGAGACTAGAGGGAACTTCTAGAACCCATCAAAGGAAAAGTGTAACAATAGGCCAAGTTCAAGGGAGAAGGAAGGAAGAAGCTTAAAGTAACTTACCCCCAAAAGATTTTTAGGCACATAGCCTTCTTTATCATTGAGTCGAGCCCACCACCATTCTGTTTCATTATCATCCTTACGTCTCAGGATAGTAATGGCATCTCCTTCATGGAATGACAACTCATCATTATTCTGGGCTTCATAATCCCATAGAGCATACACTACTCCTTTGTTCATGACTCCCAACTTCTCCTGTACTCCTGTTATCAAGAAATAAAAGGTAAACAAGAATATTACAGATGGCAAAGTACCTTGACTTTATGCACTTGGGATTTTGGGTCCTCCTCTCCAGTGGAACACGCTGAGAGCCTCATTCTGCTGCAATTTAAGACTGTCAGTGTTTCCATTATAATTCCCCCCCAGGAATTTAATTGGAGATTAAAACCTGGTATGGCATAAAACTTGTCATAGAAGGTTGGGAACAAGTTTTTTCTTTTCATTGCATGTGTATTTGAAAATTAGTTGGCCTTACTTTAGTTGAAATAAGGATGCAAATTAGGGCTGTCAAGTGATTTAAAAAATTGCAATTAATTGTGCAGTTAAAACAAACCAATCACACTATTAATAGAATACAATTTAAATAAATATTTTTGGATGTTTTCTACATTTTCAAATATATTGATTTCGATTACAACACAGAATACAAAGTGTACAGTGCTTTTTATTTTTTATTACAAATATTTGCACTGTAAAAAAATATAATAATTTTCAATTCACCTAGTACAAGTACTGTAGTGCAATCTCTTTATCATGAAAGTTGAACTTACAAATGTGGAATTATGTACAAAAAAATAACTGCATTCAAAAATAAAACAATGTAACACTTTAGTGCCTACAAGTCCACTCTGTCTGAGCAATTGGCTGAAATAGGATTAACAAGTTTGCTTACAATTTGCAGGAGATAAAGCTGCCCGCTTCTTGTTTACAATGTCACCTGAAAGTGAGAACAGGCATTCGCATGGCACTGCTGTAGCCAGCGTTGCAAGATATTTACATGCCAGATGTGCTAAAGATTCATCTGTCTCCATCTTCAACCACTATTCCGGAGGACATGTGTCCATGCTGATGATGGGTTCTGTTCGATAACAATCCAAAGCAGAGCGGACTGACATGTTCATTTTCATCATCTGAGACAGATGCCACCAGCAGAAGGCTGATTTTCTTTTTTGATGGTTCGGGTTCTGTAGTTTCCGCATAGTGTTGCTCTTTTAAGACTTCTGAAAGCATGCTCCACACCTCATCCCTCTCAGATGTTGGATGGCACTTCAGACTCCTAAACCTTGGGTTGAGTGCTGTAGCTATTTTTAGAAATCTCACATTGGTACCTTCTTTGCATTTTGTCAAATCTGCTGTAAAAGTGTTCTTGAAACAAACAGGTGCTGGGTCATCATCTGAGACTGCTATGACATGAAATATATGGCAGAATGCAGGTAAAACAACAGGAGACCTACAATTCTCCCCCAAGGAGTTCAGTCACAAATTTAATTAACACTTTTTTTAAATGAGCATGGAAGCATGTCCTCTGGAATGGTGGCCAAAGCATGAAGGGGCATACAAATGTTTAGCATATCTGGCATGTAAATACCTTGCAACGCTGGCTACAAAAGTGCCATGCAAATGCCTGTTCTCACTTTCAGGTGACATTGTAAAAAGAAGCAGGCACCAGTATCTCCCATAAATGTAAACAAACTTGTTTGTCTTAGCAATTGACTGAACAAGAAATAGGACTGAGTGGACTTGTAGGCTCTAAAGTTTTATATTCTTTTGTCTTTGAGTGCAGTTATGTAACAACACCACCAACAAAAATCTACATTTGTAAGTTATACTTTCACGATAAAGAGATTGCACTACAGTACTTCTATGAGGTGAACTGAAAAATACTCATTTTTACAGTGCAGATATTTATAATAAAAAATATAAAGTGAGCACTGTATACTTTGTATTCTGTGTTGTAACAGAATTCAATATTTGAAAATGTAGAAAAGCATGCAAAAATATTTAATAAATTTCAATTAGTATTCTATTAACAGTGCGATTAATCATGATTAATTTTTGAGTTAAGAGCGTGAGTTAACTGCGATTGACAGCCCTAGTGCAAATCACTCGTACTAGTCTCATACACATTCTCTAGCACAACAGGTTTAGAGTTCTTATGTCTTCTTGCTCCGCATAGTTATTAGAGCATTTGCTGTATACATCATCACACTGCAAATCTGCCTCAAGGGGTATATTAAAACCCTAATGAAGCCTTTACACTCTTTTTGGTGTAAGTTAGAATCTTAATTTTATTTAATTGCTGCTTCTAGAAAGATGCTTCTCTTGTGATATATGCACTGAACTTAAAAGCTGTAGGTCATCTGTCTCATTAATTCAGTGAACAAAACATGAATAACTACTCATGATAAGGAATTCGAATAAAGTTTAGATCTTCAGCCTCCTGGTGTGGTCTGCTAGAAGTCTGGGATATCCTGACAAAATTCCATGTGAAATTTACATGGCAACACCCTTCTAACTCCAAAACCCTATCATCATTAGAACTGTTTCCTAGAAAGGAAGGAAGAGAAGTTTAAAAATCATGCACAATGCCATAGTGAGCCAGTGAGCTGACTTGAAGAGGGAAGGATGACACGGTCAAAGAAACAGCCAAGAAAATATTCTGGCACCAGTATTTTGAATGGATGAGGTTGGGGGAAGGGCAATGCTAATTTCAAAGACCTATGTAGAGGATACAGAATTTAACTAGCAACTTGGTAGTCAGGACAGAGAAGAAAGGTTGAATTTCAGAGAAGTTTTAAAGGTTTGTAAAGGGAATTATCAAGCATATACACTTAGCAACCTACCGTACAAGAACTGGGAACACTGAATATAACCCTCCTCCATCTCCTCACACTTGTCCGCAGCAGTTTCTATATCACTTATAGTTGAAGCAAAAATTGCTGCCCCGGATTCTACAAGTACTTTACAGAGATGAACACTATTGCAAGAAGCTGCACAATGCAAAGGCGTCCTGAAACAAAGCCAACATTTAGACATCAAAATGGGCCAGGAACCCTACAAATCCAACCTCCAACAAAGGGTTCAGTCATCCTTTAGAAGTTACTTTTGAAAGACAATTATGTTTTTACTTGTGCCACAAACATTCTCCACATAAAAGTTAAATAAATAACCCAGATGAAATTCTGACCCCACTGAAGCAAACAGATTTTAATGAGAATGGTACGTTTTCATGACATTTTAGAAGTCTGCAGTATGTTAGCTTTAAAGGGCAGAGAGGCTTGTGCTGGTGAGAGAGTAGAGAGCAAGGCAAAAAGGGCTAGAAATAGCTCAGCAAAGCCAGCTCTCTAAATTCCTCACATACACTAAAGAAGTGCTGCAGGACAAGGAAACGTTACTCACCGTGTAGTAACTGGAGTTCTCTAAGGTGGGTTCTCCCAGTGTGTCATGTACTTCAGGTTTGCACATGCACTTCATGTGCCCAGGACCAAAGATTTTTCCCTAGCAGTGTCCATTTGCTCCATGCATGCACCTCCACTTTGCTTATGCTCATGCTCTGCTCTGAAGCTATAAACAGGGCTGCCAGGCTGCCACCATTTTAGTTCCTTCTCTACCGCTAGGCCCCACTTAGGGAAATTGAGACAGCAGAGAAGGAGGTGGGTAGTGGACATAAGGAAAACACATCCTTCGGGTGCTTGTCCCTATGCATCATGCACTTCAAGTGATTCAGAAGCAGTGTCTCTCTGAGGAGGTGAGTACCCACAGTCCCATATCACAACAGAATACAGAACTGCTCTACCCAGGGAGGCATCCGAAGCAGCTGCTTGCACCGGTGCATAATGTCTTGCGAAGGTATGTACAGAGCCCCATGTTGCTGCTTTGCAGGTGTCAATAATAGACACACCCTTGAGGGAGGCTACTGAGGCTGCTTGGACTCTTGTTGAATGTGCTCTCACACTCCTCAAGAGGGACATTCTTCAGCTCGTAGCAAAGTATGATGCATCCTGAGATCCACTGACAACTTCTGGGTGGGCGTGGCCTCTCCTTTCATCTTTTCCACAAATGATACAAAATGTCTAGGAGATTTCCTAAATGACTTCACCCTCTGTAGGTAAAAGGCAAGGGTCCCACGCACATCCAAGAAGTGCCTCATTACCTCTTCCCTATTGGTGTGTGGTTTAGAATAGAACACAGGAAATGGATGTTTTGGTTAATGTGAGTCTGACACTACCTTAAGGATGCACTTCAGATGCAGTCTCATGAATACCTTATTCTTGTGGAAAACTATTGGAGAGGGCCAGGGGAGGTCTGCCATGAGTGCTCCTAACTCCCCTACTCTTTTGGCCAGTGATTGCGACTAAAAATGCTACCTTCATTGAGAACTGCAGTAGAGAGCAGGGTACCAGAAGCTCAAACAGCACTTTTGTCAGAGTTGGTAAAACCAGGTTTAGGTCCCAGGCTGGTGTGAGTTTTGCCACAGGAGGGAAAACTGTAACCAAACCTGTCAGGAATCAAGATGTGACTGTTTGTAAAAACACAGAGTAGGTGTCTACTTACCTGTCTCTGCCTACGTTTGGTGGCTCCTGACACTACCTGAGAGTTGCGAGGCAGATGACAGAATAGGTATTCCAACCCTTTCACAGGTACAAAATACCTCTTTTCAGCCTACTTATCTACTGGTGGAACTGTGGCAGGTGTCTACCAAAGTGTCTTTGGTGAGTTCCATTCCATTCGGTCCTGAGCTGTGCAGAATGTCTAGCAATGCGTAGAATGTGTAATGCCTCTGCCACCCTTTTAACCAAGTCCTGGAAGGCCTTAGAATCATCAGGGTATGCAAGGAGGCAGGAATCACTGCCTCGTTGGGAGACGAGGACAACAAGATCACCAGCATGATGGCATCTTGTTCCTGTTGGGCCTCTCCTCCAGATTGTTGTTGTGACTTCTGAGGCTGAGGGTGCTCTTCCTCTACCCTGGGAGCCGGACACCTACGAGGATCCTTTGTCCCATAACATGGGTATGTCAGGTGATAGTCTTGGGTCTTCCAGGCCCCAATACTGCCATTGCGTGACCTCATACCCCCTCAGTGCAAAGCCCCAGGGTAATGGATACCAATATGTATAGGGAGGGTTCTTAATTGCACAGGAGTACTGAGACACTCTGGACAATACAGATACCCTCTCTGAGCTCAACCCCTGCAAGACACCCTCGGGGGAGTAGTCCGGGATGGGTGTCCCCCATATTCTTCTTCTGACTCCAACCCCAAATTCAACAGGAGACCGCTCAGTCCTGGAGGAGGCAGTGATGACCTGCCTCTATGATACTGGCAACAGTCTAGCTTGACTGCAGAGATATCTGTACTCAATGATATCCTGGTACTGGACATGGGACTCCAGAGAGTATCACAGTGACTCTACTTCCATAAATACAATTAAGTCACCCGCTGCTGAGAAACGGGCTGGAGTGGATAGAATAGTTTCTGTACTTCAGGCCATTGGTACAGAGAAAGCCAGAGCTGACAGTGCGGATGCAGCAGCTGTTGATGGTGCCAAAGTACCTTGGTTCTGCAACGTGGTGTGGCCTTACCTTCTGATGAAGTCCCAGACTGGTCCTTCCCAGTATAAAGACAGTCCCATTCTGGAGCACAAGGTGTCTCCTGACTTGGTGCAGGACGGAGACTTTTGCCTCTTCTTAGAGGACTTGGATGGGGAAGGACAAGAGGGAAGATTATGGGAGACGTTTTGTCTCCCTTCCATTTGCCTTGGCTTTCCTCACCCGAGTCTCTCGGCGCTGGTGGGGGGTGCCTTGGAACCAGCCAGAGCCACTGTAAGGAATGTTCCTACCATCTTTAGACATTTGGGAGGGGGATCTCCCCAGTCAGAGCCGGTGACCGCTCTCATAGACCTCTCCATGAGGAATCTTCTGGGTTAGAACTCCCTTGACTGTTTTGTCCTCCTTGGAAACGACCTGCAGATACTGCACCTAGAAGGGACATGGGTTTCCCCCAGGCAGTCCAAGCAAGTGTGATAATCTGTAACCAGAAATGACTTCTGGCAGTCTATGCAGTTTTTGAAGCCAGGGATCCTTGGCATACTCTCCACACTGCCACTGAAAGAACTAGAGGGTGGTAAGAGTAAGTGAGTGTGTATAAATAGGGATTATGGTGTGTGGTACAGGAATTGCATCACTCCACACGCCATGGGTGGGATTCCCAAAGTTTAGGAAATCAAACCCCAAAAATCTATCCTAACCAGATTAAAACAACTAGGACTAATTTTTAAAAATCATCTACAGGGAAAGCTGAAGTAGTCAGCACATACACTAAAACTTCATCCTAAACCATGAGCAGTAAGAAGGAACCAATATGGTGAGGGTCTGGCAGCCCAGTGCAGAGCATGAGGAGAATGGTGGCGCATGTGAGGACCAAACAGACACTGGAAAAAATCTTCGGTCCTGGGCATATGGAGCACATGCACAAACCTGAAATGTATTGCACAGAGGGACAAGCACTCAGAGAACTATGGACTATATATTATACTCCTGAGGGAATTGCGCCACTGTGCAATGCAGAATTTTGCAGAAATTAACGTTGTGCGCACAGAATTTCCTTTCCCCCCCGCACAGAAATGGGCTGCGGTACTGCTAGCCACCATTAGGGGCCACTGGACTCGGCAGAGCCCAGCTTGCACATAGAGACACTGCTGGGGGGAGGGAGAGGGAGCTAGAGGGTTCCTGGCAGCTGCAGTTCCCAGTATGCGTTGAGGGAAGGAGAGGGAGGCACACAGGAAACTCTGTGCAAGCCTGGGGCTCAGCGAGCATCAGGCTGTTTCTCCCTCTGAATTCCTGGGATCTTGGGGGAAAGGGACGGGTGTCTGGGCAGGGGGGCGGGCCCTGCAGCTGGGCTCTGGGGGGGAGGGTGTACAGGTATCTGGGCCGGGGAGACCCCACTGCTGGGCTCTGGGGGGAGACGATGGGGTGTCGGTATCTGGGCTAGGGGGGCCCTGCAGTTGGGCTCTGGGGATTAGAGGGTTCAGGTGTATTGGCTGGGGAGGGGGCCACAGGTGGGCCTTGCAGGGGAGGGGTTGTGGGTGTTTGGCCCCCTGGATGGGCTCGGGGGGGGGGGGGGGGGAAGGGGACAGAGAAATAGGAACTGGGTTGTCATAGGGGTTTCTTTAACTCTCTACTTCTGGGGGAATTTTTGCGTGTATCTGTATTGTTACAGACATACTTGCTGACAGGTATTTTGAAATAAATTACCAAAATTGAAACTGGTGTGATTATGTAGTGTTATTTTGAGAAATAAAATTTGCAAAATTTTAAAATATTGTGCGCAGAATTTTTAAATTTTGGGTGTAAAATGCCCCATGAGTAATATTAAGATCAACTTTTTTTAAAACTTCCCTTTCTAAAACCAATGGAAAGTTTTAAAAAATTGATGACACAAAAAAGACCTTATAGAAAAGTATAGATATTCATGCATTTTTTAATAACGTAGTTCATTACTAATACTGCCAAATTATAACAATCTATGGACAAAGGATCCATGAAGGTAAACCCACTTTGGGATAAAAATGGGGAAGGCTGTGTATTTCTAGTCAAAATTATTAAACATATGGGAGACAAATTAGAACTATACAGTTAAATATAAACAAAATACAATAGCATTTATTTATTATTTGGAAGAGTTTGTACATTACACTTAGGTGAACATTTAGTAAAGTCATGTATTTCAATGCCTCGATCATTAAAGCTATGTAGAGACCTTACGGCGACACAGCTATACCAACGCAGCTGCACCACTGTAAGGGCTTGTCTACACTACCGCGGTAGTTCGACGGCTGGCAATCGAACTTCCGGGTTCGATTTATCACGTCTGGTCTGGACGCGATAATTCGAACCAGGAAGTGCTCGCCGTCGACTGCGGTACTCCACCTCAGCGAGAGGAGTACCGCGGAGTCGACGGGGGAGCCTGCCTGCCGCGTGTGGACCGCGTCTGAACCGCGGTAAATTCGAACTAAGGTATGTCGACTTCAGCTACGTTATTCACGTAGCTGAAGTTGCGTACCTTAGATCGAATTGGGGTGTTAGTGTAGACCAGGCCTAAGATCATGCTGCTCCATGCCGACAGGAGAGAGCTCTCCTGTCAACATAATTAAAGCACCTGCAATGAGTGGCAGTAGCTATGTCGGCGGGAGAGTGTCTCCTGCCGACATAGTGTTGTCCACACTGGCGCTTCTGTCAGTGTAACTTGTATCAGTCGGGTTGCGTGTGTGTGGTTTTTATCATATTCCTGAGCGACATAAGTTTTACCGCAAAATTGCTAGTGTAGACATAGCCTTAGAGTTTACAAAAAGGTCATTTGGTAAATATGTAATAATCTGATCCCTAGATAGCTCTCCACTAAATTTCATTATCAAAACTGACTGAATTGGGACTTTGAAGTTAAAAGTGCCAGCACACTTACCATCCATCACTGTCTGCTGCATTCACATTAACACCAAAATCAAGCAGGAACTTTACAATGTGGTGATGACCAGCACACACTGCATTATGCAAAGGGGTAATTCCTTCATCATTGGGTTTGCTGGGATCATCAACCTATGGGAAAAAATTGAAATACTTAAGCCCAAATCATTTCCTTCACTGAAAAAATGTGGACGAGACTGACTACATTTAGAAAAGTTCACCTCATAAATGATCCTTTGTACCAGATCAAATTCTCCCTCCAAAGAAGCATCAAGCAGGAGGGCTAAAGGGTTGAACTTTACCCTCAAACCGTGACCAGTTCGTTCAGAGTTAGGTTTCTTCAGGTTGGTACGTTTAGTCTGAGTGGAAGAAAAAGCAGATGTCATTCCAGGTTGCATAAATATCACAAAACAGTCAACTTCGTTTTAACCAAACAAGCATTACTGTGTCCCCAAAGTGCTGATTAAGATTTGTCAGCATTTCCATTATAAAACCACAGTGGCAGATATTAATTTTATTACGTGGAAATCTGAAAGTCATTCCAACACAACAATAGATTACTGTTTAAAGAAAATGGTTAGAAGGTACAGTAGGTTAATACTTAGCTCATTCCTCATCTCTGAATATCATAGTTTTAAATTCCATCTGACATCACAATTGAAAGCGAATGGGCTCATCCTAGTCTCTAGCAAGATTTTGGTCTCATTACAAATTAAACAATTCAGCATGATTGGCAGTCTCTGCTCGGGAGAATCTCAGGTTTGAGCTAGCAGGAGTGTTCATTACAGGTTAGGACTGAGGTGCATTAATTTGCTATGCTGTTTGCAGTGGGGAAGGAAAGCTTGCACAGCACTAGACTATTGTAGGTGTTTTTCTAGCCAGTAGTTTCAGGAGAAACATGTTCACAAAATCTGAACCATTTTAAAATTTGTTTTGTTAAACAGTATTTTACATCAATCAGATGCATTTTTCCCAGGCTACTGCAAAATGTTTTAGCAATTTGTGCTTTATGTGGACTACAGGCTGTAGGGTTTTGAAATGTCTGTTTTAAATTACTGTTATACTTAAGTTTGGGGGGGAAGATTATCTCCCCCTTCTCCTCAAAATAGCCTGCACCTGTTCCCATAGGTACTGTGTACTCCGTGGCCAAGCTGGACCTAAATTCTTCAGCAAGGTCCTTGGATTCTATGACCGCTTTAGATAAATGAAAAAGTAGATGTGCTCGCTGTATTCAGTATGAAAGTGAATAATACAGTCTAATGAGTATTATTTTTATATTAAATTTAATCTATTTTATGCTGTCCCCACATTTTCAATTATCTACCTAGTGCAGATTTTGATAATGACAAGACAAATAGTGTTGCAGACATGCCAGGCTGAAACTGGAGGCTTTGGCAGCTGGAAGGGGGGCAGTTGGGGGCCATGGCACCTGGGGAAGCATGGAGGGTAATTTGGATTGTGGGATAAGCACATTAGATGGATGTTTCTGCTAAAATAAATCAGCAATGTTGACATTTATGCTGTCACTTTTAGGGTGTACAGGTAATTCCCCACTGAGGGGAATATGGGTAGTTCACACTGCCCAGAGCTGTTTTTTCAGACTGTCTGCAGAATTAGGAAAGCATCACTGCTGCAGTTTCCACTCAGGTTCATGTTTACAGTTATCTTTGCAACCCTGAGGTCTGAAAACATTTTTTAAATTTAAGTCTGATTCTGAAATTCAGTTCTTGGCAAGGGGTAATTTCAGATAAAGTTCTGCAGCTAGAGGATACACATGACCCTGAACATGCAGGATCATCTACAAAACATGTGCATCATTTCCTTACTAACTAGCCAGAGTTGCATCTGAAGCAATATTAGTACAGAAACAGCATTTCTGTCAACTTATCCATAGGAATCTTCCATGGTGCTGTGTTCATTTTCCCTTTATTCCTTTGATACCATAAACCTTATGCTATTGTATATCATTTAGCATAATCCCATTGTCTTCCAGTCACTGCAGGAGTAATTGACTGTATAGCTACTTCCAAAGGCCAAGAGTAATACGTAATATAGCTGTATTTCTGCCGTCACTTACTGGAGGAAGTGGAGGAGGAACAGCTGGTGGCACCGGAACTTCATCTTCTACTGGGGAGCTGACCTCAGGTATGGGACTGGGTGATTGCTCAGTGGAAGGGACTACAGCAGGATTGTTATTATTGTCTTCAGTTGTCTCAGAGGTTTGGTTAGTGGTTTCAGTGCTAATCAGGTCCTCAGTGGCAGGAGAAGGTAATTCATTATCATTGGCATCTGATGAAGGAGGAGGTTCATCAGGAAGAGCAACTGTGGGTTGCACAGAAATTGGTTCTTCAATATTGCCATTGGTGCTAGTGTTTCCATTATCAACATCTGCTAAGTTGCCTATAAAGTCCTGTGGGTTGCTTGGTTGATAAAAAGGAGCACTTTCTATTCCTCCAGCAAGTGTATTAAAGCGCTGATACAGTAGCTTCTGTATATTTGGTCCACTAGGCCCTTCAGGTTCAGTGATAGAGCTACGCTTCTTTAATGGCCTAGGAGCATTGGCTAATTTTCTTCTAAGAGCTTCAAGATCAGCATCACTTTGATATCGCAGGGGTGAATGCACAATAGGTGTAAGCTTAGTAGGACTGAGAGGGCGAGGAATGTTTTCCACATTGCTATTTTCACCTGATGGCGGAATGTTTTCCAGCTCTTGATCTTTTTCAGTGAACTCAATCTGAGGCTGAGACTGTGGCTGTGATGTGTGGGTGGGCAAAGATCCATGAAGGAATGGTAAAGGTGATGGAGAGGTTGAACCAGACTGTAGGACAGGTTTTCCATAAACTGAAGAGGAGAAAATAAAACAGTGAGGAACTGTTCTGAATTTATATCAAAAAGGTCATGCAATAAGCTGCTGGATGCGCATGCTGCTGTTTGTTCATAAATCAACATAGAAGAAAAAGATGTCAATAGCTAGGTTATGTCATAACCTATCACCCAGTTGGCTGATCAAACTAGGATATCAGTATTCATCGGTTAGTGATGGAGATACTTCTGATTGAGTTATAAACTATTCATTGATAAACGGTAAGAGGAGGGTTGTTTAAAAGAAAAGCCTGCCAGAGACTATTTCTTTAATCAATCTCTGTAAAGATACCTGGAATACAACGTATTACATCTAATATAATGCATATTGTTCCAATAGTTAGTTAGTATGTTTTAAAATAAAGATGTCTCTCAGCACATACCTATTTGCCACCTCAAAAACTACAAACGGGGTTAAATTAAATTGTGATGCCATACTGTTTGAATAAGAAAAAGCAAAATCCTCCTCCTTTCCTCTAAATTTAGACAAGTTATTCAAACAACAAAATAATGCTTTTAAGGTAAGTGTATTTACATTAATCTCAACTAAATTATTATTTATTACAAACAGATCAAAAAAGCAAGTCTACTGAGTAGATCTGAGGTAACAGTAGCCTACTTCAAAGGGAAAAGCAATAAATATATATATATTCTACCTGCTTTTACTGATTTATTTAGGGTATTGTATACAGCCTGTTGATAGTTCTTTGGTGGTGTTGCTTGCTGAAGATACATTGAGTAGATGGAACTGGAGTTCACTGTTTGAGGTCCTTTTCTTGGAGACTGAGGCCTTGATCCTTTATCAGCTAGAAAAGGCCTGATAGCCACAGTTAAAGGGAGCTCAGGCCTGCCATCTCCGCCAGAAAATGAGGAGGGACCAGAAGGTTGATAAGTAGGGCTAGGAGGTACAGAAATTCTCTGTTGTATCTGCTGTGAGGAACTAGGCTGATGTATATTGCTCGATGGTGGTAATGGAATAGGTCTTTGCCGATTTGTTATACTGGAGCCAGGTCTTGGTAGGCTGCCATCCTTCCGCCTTTCCAGTGAATTTGTAGAACCTGTTCCTAAAGGAACAGGGCTTGGATAGGTTCCATAGTTTTGAGGCAACTGCTTACTTACACCAGGGATAGTAGGTGGCACTTTCCCCATATCAAGGCCCTAAATAAGAACAACAATACAAGTATTGTATGAAAAACTGGGCAGACTGCACCATCTCACAAATAAAATAAAAATAACCAGGAGCAAAAACATGCACATCTTAACTAATCAGATTCATATTTCTAAAGGACAAGGAATAATATACATTACATATATACACAATTATGAAGCATGTTTTTTAAAAATGTATTAGACATTATGCTTCTAGGAGATTTTCCACAGAAGATTCAAAGATCAAGAGAACCACCACGTATTAGAGAGAGAGAGAGAGAGAGAGAGAGAGAGAGAGAGAGAACGCACAAATCTTTCAAGCCCAGTGTAAGATATCTCTAATTACTATATGTAAATATGAATCAAAACAGTATTTGCATCATCGAGGGCTCAATTTTCAAACTTGAGCGCCTAGCTTTAGGCACCTAAGTTTGCAAGATTGACCACAAAATCCATTTGGTAATAAAGTGCAGTAAATCTACACTGCACTTCAAGAAAAGAAATTAAGACAAGGTCGTCACTTGTCAGAACTTACAGTCTAAGAAAAATACAAACCACTGGGCAATGGTGCAAACACCAGAGGACACAAAAGGACAACACTAGCAGGCTCAATGTACGATGGATTTGAAGTTTTTTGTTTTTTTTTTTTTTATTTTAAAAGGATTTTGAAGGAAAAGAAGAGGGAGGGTGATTAGTGGATAATGGGAAGTTATGCCAAGCAGCAGCAAGTGACAACATGAAAGGTGTGAAACTGAGAAGGGAGGAGGAGACAAAACATGTAAAGGGAGAGGATTAGGAGTAGGAAAGGGCTTGAGGGGGAGAGTCGGAGAAAGTGAAAGCAGAGATGTACGTGAGTGGCAATACACAGGACCCCGAAGGTGAGGGCCAGGAGTTGAAACCTGATGTGATAAGAGACAGGAAGACAGTGAAAGAATTTGAAGAAGGGAGATGAAGAGGATTTTATTAGTGACATTTTTGATAAATGGAAGGGAAGAAGTGAGATGAGCAGAGACCTGAGGCAAACCCTGCTAAAGAGGCCAAAGCCATAGTCAAAAGTTTTATCAAACAAGATTTATAAAAATACTACACAAATTTGACAGACATTATGAGGTTACTGGTTTTTATATGCCGCATATGAAACCCACCAGTTTATCAGTACTTCCTAATACTGAAGATGGCAAAGGTTGACTGGATACAGTTCCTTGTTTTAAAGCAGTATCCATGCTTGATTCCTTCCAGTCTGCATTGGAGACTTGAGGTGGTTTTACCACGGGAGTTGAACTCTGTTTAAGTGTCGGCCAATTTCCATCATTAGCTTGAAATAGAGGGAAAATGTGATATTTATGGTTACCAGTGCCGATCACTGTAAACAAGCAAAACATTTGAAGTGGAATCCATTATTCAGATTAGTTTAATCACAATGAAATTAATATGATGCCAAAAATCAGATAAGCTCTCATTAATGTTAGTGTCTGATCCAGAAGAACAGAATAAAAGCTTAACCACCAGGAACAATAAGCTATTCGTTACCCTTTGACATTCAAATTAATTACATTAAAATCAGCTCTAATGACAGATGGTGAATATTTGGGTGCTAACTGCAATTTCAGCTATCATATTCCAAAATTAAACTTTTTTTAAGAAAAAAGTTCATCTATACATAGAAATAGGCCATTAGCAGTCAATATTTGATCATTTTTGGTGAACTACCAAGATACAAGGCTAAATTCTGCAATGTATCAATTATATCAATGTATATCATGAGTAACTGCATTAACTTCAGTGGAGTTTTTCCAAATTGGCACCTGTAGAAGTGAACAGAATTTGGCCCAGAGTCATTGATATGTAAGTAAAGACTTGCTGTAGCTACATTAATTGCATTAAACAAAAATCTTCCAAAGTATGCATTAATGTCTTTCTTCTCTTCCCACTACCCTCAGTAATTATAATAGTGTCTCCCGGTTAAAGATTTAATTTTTCAGAAATTCATCTTAAATCAGTTGAAAATTTCAAGCCACGGGCATATTTATTCATTGCATGCAAAAATATTATGCACAATTGCTTGTAAATTGAAGTAGCCAGTCCTTGACTAAGTCCTTAATGCTTTAGTGTAAAATTTTAGTAATCGGAGGAAACAATTCACTTTCTATTTTCCCAACTAGGATAAAAGTTTTAAAACTATCTGAAAGTTAAACCTATGCTGTTACACTGTAAAACAGTTTTGAATTAGTGCTTTATTCTCCTGTTTAAAAGAGCATATTTCAGTTGCCAGACTCACTCTTGCTCTATGAGGTGGATACGGTTGTTTTCGTCCCCCCCACTGCTCTGTAGTGACCATAGCAAAACAATTTAATAGTAGTATTGATGGCCTGTGAAAGAGGCACATACAGCCTTATTTTACCAGAGGATCGTAACTGAAATGCCAAGTCTTATGTGGAGAAAGGGGAATTTATTGGGATTCCTGGAACCCCACTGTAAGAAGACCAAATGAAGGTCAGCGATACTCAGTGACAAAGCTTTCCCCTTCATCTCAACTTTACAGAAAAATTCTATCTAGGCCTCTCACTGATCCTTTTTTCCATTTCCAGATTTGTCACCATACACTATCTTGTACAGTTTTTTCCAAAAACAATTTGACTGCTACCCCACAAATAGGCCACATAAGGGTGTGGTAGATACAATGCAGTTTACATCACTCAGCTTAGGGCTTATGAATCTGAGCCACTTTTATTTAACATCTAATTTCTAAAGAAGTTAGAATCTGGACACTGTTCAGCAACCCATATTTCCACCATGCTAGTCCACATTCAGAGTTTATCAGCTCATTAATCTGTCTTTACCCTAGCCCACGATTATGTGATCTATTTTCTATCCTTTACTCATTTGAAAGTTACACACTCTGCATGTGAACTGCCCTAGTAATTATCTTTTAAATGATCTTTCCTAAATGTAACACAAAAAAGTTACAATAACATTTTAATTTCAAATCAATCTAGGTTGAATTCTGAGAGATAATTACGTTGGGATAAGAATGCTTTTCTGATTGTTAATTTAATACAGTTAAGATCATTGTAGATTTTTTGCCCAAAGCACTTTGTATAACATACAGTCCAGAAACTGCTTTTCAGAGTTTGCAGAATGCCAGGAAGTGCTGTAGTCAGGGCCGACATCAAGATCTGACACTGTCCATAAACTGTGCACCTTGTTTTTATTACCATCATCTAGGTAACAAGAGTAAGACCAAAAGAGACAAAAGTAAAAAATACGTGCCTCAAAGAAAGGGCAATTTTTCTAAATAGATTAATATTTACTATATGATAGACCTAAGATGTTCTTTAATTCTAGCATGTTTATTACAGTTCCAGTTCATAGATCAATTCCAGCAGTTCCTATATCCTATTTACACTAAACAAAGGAATGAAGATTTAGATTTAGTAGTTTAGATTTAGTAGGTAAGAATGAAAAGAGGGAAGGACTAAACTTATTTAAGGGGTAAGAAATAGCAAGACATCATAAAATATATTTCACTCTTATAAATATACATGCACACAGGTTTAAAAAGAATGCTCAAAGAGCTAGACAATTGCACAAAAAATGTGCATTGAGTATAAAATTTCAATTTTTAGAACTCTAGGGACAAGTGCACTTATCCTTAGAATTCTACGGTGAGGAATAGGAACCAAATATGTTCAACCTCTGTCCCTCCAACCTCTCCAGTGTCTCTCTTAGGGGGCTGGTCTATAGGTTGCTTTAATTCGCACCAGAAGGGTGTAAATTTTAGTCCACACTACTGTGTTGCACACTAACTAGTCTGTGTGGACCCTGTTGGTGTGCACCAAAAGTTCCCTAGTCCAAACTAACATAGTCCCACTTAAAACAGCACCATGTTAACGTGCATTAGGAAACTTTTAGTGTCAGCAGGGTCCACTTGGGCCAGTTAGTGCAAGACACACTAGTGAGGACTAAAATTTACACCCCTCTGTTGTGGCCTAAGGCACTATATAGACATGTTCTTGGTTTCCTTCAGTTTCAGAATGCACCTGATCTCATCTTTCTGCCCCCTATATATCAGTCAAACACGTCTGCCAAATATCATGGACCTTGCATGGCATACATGCATGGAGACTGCCTCTCACATTACCGCCTAAACTGAGTGTCACACATTCAGCTAAACTGCAGTAACAGCCTACAAATACAGCTCTGGCCGCTAGAAGCTGCTGGGGAGAGGTGCTAAGCAGCTGCTGTCTGCTACTCCCTCTGGTGGATCTGACCAGAGAAGGACCAGCTGTTGGGAACAAGCAAGCCCTGACAGTGGCAGCTAGGCTTGCCAACCCTCCAGGTTTTTACTGGAGTCTCCAGGAATTAAAGATTAATCTTTAATTAAAGATAATGTCATGTGATGAAACCTCCAGGAATTCATCCAACCAAAGTTGGCAACCCAAGGGCAGCAGCAAGTGGAGGCAAAGGCAAGGACAGAAGGTGAGAGGGATGCAGTACTGGCCCTAGGCTCCCCTATCCAGCAACCAGCCAGTCTCCTAACTCAGACACTACCATTCACCAAGCTGACCTGCTACCCTGACAGGCCCCTGCTATCCCCTACTCCTACTCAGCCCTCAATCACCCCACCCAGTTGCCCATAATTCCCTTAGGTATCACAAAGCCACTTCCAGCTACATCTTTCCCCAAGACACCTCCACCAACCCAGCTGTCCCCTGCTTCCTCCAAACTATCAAGTTATCCCCCTGGATCTTCCTAGAAGTCTAACTATCCAGCTGCCCCCAACACCCTTTGTGAACCCCAGCCATCTTCAAATCCTTCCCCTCCACCCAAGCCTCCATCTTCCCTCAGCCACTGAGCTTCCCCCATCTTTCCCTACCCAGACACTTCCACAAACCCAGCTTCCCTTAGCTAGTCCCTCCTCCAGCACTCCCAACACTTCTGTTGCCTTCATCTTCTGCCCATGCACCCCCAAAAATCCAACCTCCCTTCAATATCCCTCAGCCACTCCCGCTAACCCTATTGCCCAGCTTCTCTCTCTCTCACACACACACACACACACACACACACACAATTTCATCTAATTATTTAGTCATTTTACTAGTATATTCTAACAGTAACCGTATACTGTAAACCAACAATCTGAAGATACTTGATTTCACTATTACTATTATATTTGGGCCTTTTATAGAACTTTGTATTCATAGATTTCAGACCAATTGATAAACAGGAGATAATGCTTATCCCACAGTCATGTAGCAAGTGAATTGCAAAAGCAAGCGTGAAATCCTAGTCCCACTGAAGTCAATGGGAATTTTGCCATTGACTTCAAGGGGGCTGAGATTTCACCCCAGGACCAGAAATCAGATCTCCCAATTCCCAGCGCAGAAGACCATATAAACCCTCATAGCCTCACACATAATCCTATCTCCAAAGTAAACCTACACATGCCAGGTCTCTCCAACATTGTGAATTCACCCTAATTTATAGATTGATTACCTATACAAAGTTTCTAGTAAGTTTTTGTAACTATTCTTTCAGTATCTTTTTAGACCTAAACACTCAATGGGGCAAACTCATCCCTGGTGAAACTCATCTGGCAATACTCAAGGGATGAATTTGCCCCAAATCCATTTACTTTCTTTTAATCCCCAAATTAGCCTCTTAGAAAATTTACATTATAATAGTGTATCTACTGCATACCAGGACACAGCACAGTTTCTAAAATTGCTGTTTAATATGCATCTGTATGCATGAGCTCAAATGACCATATTAAAAACTGGCATTCTTAGCTAGCCAGCTATCATCTACACACTCACAGTGCAGGGTGTCAGACAGAGTAGGTGCCAGGCAGATGACACTTTGAACAGCAGACTGAAGAGAGGAAGTGGGAGGTGACAGAATAGGATCCACTATTATGTCTAAATCAGAAATCTTCCAGGTTCCTGGAGATTTTTTCACACACCCATAATCTGTCTCTACAGGACAGGCAGATTCAGTCACACACAAAAAGAAAGAAAAAAAGTGGTGGAAAAATTACAATATAATGGCAATGCAGAAATTAGAACAGGAAAACTCAGAAATGCAGAAATAAACACATGACACTTGAAATAAAAAAATCTCAAATTTGATTTTTTTTTCTAGCAGTGGATAGACAATATTTTCATATACAGCTCTTTTGAAAAAATTGCTTTAAATACAATTAGAATCATAAGCATGTAAAGTAAGAACTAGTCTACACTACAAAGTCTGAGAGAGAACAATCTCTCTTTTACTGTCTAAAAAGGTCTAATGCAGAATAACCCCTTGGGGTCGAATACAGCAGCTCTAAAAGTACATATGCAATTATCCAAAAAAATTGTGAGATTTACAAATACCAAAATGGTGTTTGCATATAAACTGCAACTTATGAATTGACCGTTTCCATCTGATAAGAGACTTAAATGCAATAAAACAGAAGCCAACACAAAGGAGTTGCTAATCTGTCATCTCACTTAAAAGGTGACCCCAATCCACGTCCTGTGGTCAGAGGTTTAGGACTGTGCATTTCTCAGTCTTAAAAGAGATTCTTTGTTACCAACCCATTCTTCGGAGTTTTGACTTTACTAAGACATTTACTGACAAATTGCCCAGTGCAGAGAGCTCTAGGAGAATGTGAGCCAATAGGCTCAAGCACCCAAGGCATACATGATATAGGTGGTTTCCTACACCAGGCCCCATATGAGAAGGAATATTACAATATAGACAGAATTGTTAATTATGGGATACATGGGGGCCATAGTGTTGAAGAACATATTATAGATATGACTGCAGAGAAGCTCCTTCATTAGCCGCAGTCGGAAAGGAGCTGGCAGTTGGAATACTAAAGGACATTCCACTGCAGAAGTAGCACAAGACAGACAGACACCCCAGAGCCAGAACCAATCATTTTCAAACTTATTTCGGCAAGCTCTCCTCTTGCTAGGGAAACAGGTCTGAGAATAGAAATCTATCACAACTTCATTTTTTGAGAAGCAGTGTATTTTGCCCAATTCAATACTACTTAAAGAAAAAAAAAATTAAGACCAAGCAGAATACTTTCAAAAAACAGATGAAAACAAAATGCTGCAAAAATTAGTTGTATTATATTTACAGATTAAATTGGAGTTACATACTGGATTTTAAAATACAAACTGATTTAAAATCCATTATTTAGAAGCAAACACTCCTAGAGCAAAATTGTTCATGGTCACATTTCTGACAATTGTACATGCTCTTTTGTAGGTGCCATATTCAGTTCATTAGCCACGTAAAAGTCTGGCAAAGCTGTGGAGACAGTATACACTCAGCCTCTTAGGAAGAATGAGAGAGAAGAGACAAAAATACCTCACATCTATCTCGAATGACTAATATGCCCAATTCACAGAATAGCACTGAGAAGCCTAGCTCACTTTGACCAGAGAAGATTGTCAAGACATGCGATCTCCAAGGACCACTCCTTTGCCTCCTCCTACCCCAAATATTTTAATAACCGTTACACTTAAGTATTTACCAGATTTTGATCTCCCATGAGTCGCAGTGGAAGCAATGGTGAGAGACTGTGGTTTCACTGGGTCTATTGGTACAGCATAACTGCCAGCGCTAGGAACTTGGATGTAAGGCCCCACTGCTGCTACTCTTCCTGAAGCAGTCAGAGATGATTGGGGCGATGATGTTCCATTAATACGATTTAACTAAAATAGACAAACCAAAAATGGTGTAAATGTCTATTTATCTAGGCATTTCTAGTGTGTTAAGAAACAGTATGGTTGAATAATCTAGAATTATGCACTCTAGACACGTCACCTCAAATTTGTTAATCAAATTTGAACCAGAAAAGCAGATTTCTACTCCACAAAACAGACTTTGCCCACCTGAAACTATACATAGTTCTCAACCATGGCTATATTTTCCACAAGGAAAATATTTTCCTTCTGTTCAAGGGCTTGCTTCACCTCAGACATTATAAGATTGGGGCCCTAATAAGGCACTGAAAACCAAAAGTGAATCTAACTGTAAGTGGCCCCTCCATCTGGGCCTTTACCTGGTCATCAGAAAACACACATACAGTTAGGGTGACCAGATAGCAAGTGTGAAAAATCAATTTGGGGTGGGAGGGGGTAACAGTTGCCTATATCAGACAAAGCCCCTAATATTGGGATTTCTGGTCACCCTACATACGGTGTCCAGCATGCAGTTGACCACCGTGCTTAATTTGTAATGAAAGAGGTGCTGGGGTTCAAGCAATTTTTTTACATTTATAACTTATGCAGCAAGCCCAGAGGTGCCGGGGCTACGAACTGCCAAGCCTAGAAGTGCCAGGGCTCAGCCTTGCAAGCCCTGGCACAAATTAAGCACTGGTTGACCAGGTTATTCAACTACGGGCAGATCATCAAACCGCTTAAATAAAAGTCACCTTTCTGCTCCAGGCGTGGAGGTGGTGATTTTCATATTTGGGAACAAATATTTTACTAATTATCCAAACCTAACAAATGCCCTGATGGAAAGCCAAAAATTAAGCCCTCATTTCTGAAATATTGTTACTGTTGCAAATTTTAAACAATACCCTAGTTCCTAACATAAAAATAAAAGGAAACACATTGCAATCTAAGCTTTTCCTAATCTCTGTGGAAAGAATGACAAAATTCTGGATTTCTAAAGATTACTATTTTCAAAAGAAGTGTTTTTGTAATTGTGGTTTTTCAGCTGGAGAAAAAAAGTTACATTTTATGACTTTTTTAGGTTGTTGAAACCACTAAAATATGGCCCTTTTAATAGTTTATCTTACAGGAATGTTTTCTTTTTGACGTGCCTCAACTTTTTTCTTGTATAGTCGCTCACGCAGCTCATTGATACGCTTGTCCATCATAGCCACCTCCATGTTACGTTTGTTTAAAAGTTCTTTCTGCTGCTGAAGCTTGGAGTTCTGCTCCTGGTTAAGCCTATTACGAATCTTTAAAAATGCAATTGTTATAATTACAGTAGATATTTTATTTCACCTGCTGTCAAATTATTTTATAAAATATCCAAAGACATGAAGTAATATAGATCAACTAAGTCTACACTTCTACATAGCCTGTTAAGTAAACATTTGCATTGAAATACAATTCTTTAGAAAAAGAATCAAAAGAAAATATATCCTAGGAAGCAATTGTACATTCATGAGTATATGCTGAATCATCCAATTTATGGCAACTGCAAGCATCTAAGCATAAAGATGTTTCATAAAGGAACACCGATGAGATGAAAACCAAATCATATATAATATTTGATAGTAAGCTCATCTTTTTAAACCTTCTTAAAGTCAGTCAATTTTTAACTACCTGGATGGTAAAAAAACATATTTAAAAAAAATGTCAGTTTCAACAACAGAAGCTATGCTACGGATTCTGCTTCCAATTCCAAATGAAACTTCTTGATGGATGAATGGGATGCTAACTGAACTGGTGCATAGGCTAGACACTGATTTTCCTTTCTACGTGGGAATTAAGGTGAAACCTTTATTTGAAGGCTTCTAAAGGGGGTGGGTTACCTCTACAGTTTAAAATCAATCATTGCGTCCTTCATAATTATTTTTCTTGTCTCCCCATTGGCTCTCTTTGGCACCTTCAATAATTCTGATAGTTTGTCCCAGTTCTCCACTTCCCATGTTGATGTTACATGCAAAAAAAACTGAGGCAAATTTACATCTTGATAAATATGTAGGGGGTCAAAATGACAACAAGCAACAATACAGACATCTCAGCAATCTGTTAAGCATCTTTGCACTTAGAATTGCTCCAGAAATGGAGATGCACCTACTGTAAGTGATGGAGGGAAAAGGTCACTTCTTTTTCAATTAAATAAAAATAGAACCTGGTATAATATTGTGCAACCTGGTATAATACTTTAAATGAAGTTTCCCTTCACTTCAGAGAAAAAAATTATATTATATTTTAGTGATTGTTAAAGAGCACATCCCAATTACATGAAATAATCATACAAGAGTGTCCCCATTTAAAAAAAAAAAAAACAAAAATCACATCAATCTATACCAGGGATTGGCAACCTTTGGCACGCAGCCCGCCAGGGTAAGCACCCTGGCGAGCCGGGCCAGTTTACCTACCTGCCGCGTCCGCAGGTTCGGCCGATCGCGGCTCTCACTGGCCGCGCTTCACCATCCCAGGCCAATGGGGGCTGTGGGGAGTGGCGGCCAGCACATCCCTTGGCCCGCACCGCTTCCCGCAGCCCCCATTGGCCTGGAGCGGCGAACCACGGCCAGTGGGACCCACGATCGGGTGAACCTGCGGATGCGGCAGGTAAACAAACCGGCCCTGCCCGCCAGGGTGCTTACCCTGGTGGGCTGCAGGCCAAAGGTTGCCGATCCCTGATCTATACTCAAAGGTTCAGAACCTAAGGATAAAAGAAATACATGCATCCCAAGAAAGTGAGAATTGTCAAAAAGCATTACTTGTATTTCCCATTTTTAAACTAATACATGGTAGAGCTCACATCTCAACCACAAAACACTATAAGCAAATTATAAAACCCATGAAATCCCGGCAAAATGGCATGTAGTTAAATATTTGTAATTTCATACATATAAACCAGAAACCATAGCAATGTAAACAAAATACTTTACCTTCTAAATTAATAAGATCTACATTATAGCTATAAAGGTATACTCAGAGAAATAAGGTATAGGGTAACTGCAAATTTTTCTTGTATTTGCAGTTTATATTTTACTTCTGGTGATTCTGTTAAAATATAAATCAGGACAGGCTTGTTATTTAGCCCCTATACATTTTAATTATATCATATATTCACTATTATGTTTTCAGACTGCATTTTACAATGGATATTTTCACTGCTTAATCATACTTTCTAGCTATGAAAGCACCTTACACGTTTGCTATACCTACTACCTCACAAAAGAGAAAAGATTAAGATCTGAAAAATTAGTCTGAGAGAATACATTTTAGAAAAAAGGAAAACAGAAACAAGCACTAGTTTACATGTAGAGTTCAATTTTTGCATATACATTCTCTTCATTGCTGAGTAATCCTCTTCAAATCATTTATACAGGTTATTATATTATTTACAAGTTCTAACAAAGTGGTGATAAAAACATGGTTTTGAAAATTAATGAAGTTCCCTTTATCTGAGGTTTATACACTTAATGTGCCCTTACAAATTAACACACATTCCATCATACTGGTTAATGGGGTTTCCCAAAACCAAGTACAACACTAGCTGTAACACCAGGTGGGGGAAGTAAATATTACTTTTGTTAATTTACAGATATTGTGAAAAATGTCCCAGTTAATGGTTTACCTGTAGTTCTTGGTACAACTTTTTTAATTCTACAGCTGCAGGTCCTGTCATCTGTCCATTATAAGATTGGAATCCATTCAATTTCCCTTTCCTTAAGTCCTCCAATTGCTGAGTTAGCTGATCCACTTTTAACACTGCAGCTTGTAACTCCTGCTGCTTCTCCTGGAACATGGCACTGATATGCTCAATTTCAGTAGCTATAATTAACAAAAAACACACCACAACAACCAAATGAAATACCAGTACAACTGTCTTGTGTATTTTCATGGTTCTAAACATACAGCTATTGGAAACTGTAGTCCTACATACAGAAACTTTTCCATCAATTTAACATAGCATACAAACTTATGCTTATAACATGCTAACGTAATTTGCAAAAAGCTGAACATATTTACTAAAATCTATTATTTAATTTCTTATTTAATTAATTCACTTGTGAAAGACCCTTTCTAAAAATAGAACAAATACTCAATTCAATATCCTGTTGCTATACTAATATTTGCAAGTTACAGTAAAAATATCATAAGTGAAATTAACAATGGAAATAGATTTGAAAAATCCACATACACAGATTGCCATTCATGATCTTGCTGTAGTCCACTTGTCCTCTCATGGCACGTATTTTTTTCAGCTTTGACTCCTGAGTCTCCACCCGTTCTTTAAGTTTTTGAAGCTTTTCACTCTCAGAAATAGACTGCTGCTGACGGCGTTCTTGCTGCTTCAGATAACGTAAACGTTGTTCCTGCCAAAACAAGGAGAACATGTAATCTAATTTTAGAGGAATTTTTTTTAATAGTTGGATAACGGCAAAACAAACAAACAACAAAACTTGACTTTAAAGAAACGCAAACTTCACTATCAACTTTGGATGGTTTTCTTGCCTATACATCTTTTCTAAATAAATAAATAAATAAATAAATAAATAAATAAAATCACATATGATAGTAAAATTTAATTAAAATGTACAATAATACTCCTAGAAAAACCTACTATGATTTGTGCCCACACAAATTTGTCTTCAAAAAATAGAAACAGGGCACACTGCTTTTGAAGCTACTAAGTCAAACGTCAAATGTACACCACAAACAATTTCAGACTAAACATTCATTCCAACACATCTGTGAAGCTTCCGCAAGCATTTGTTTCCTGCTGCTAGCAACACGCTTCCTGCTGTTGCAAAATGTCTTCCAACCCTCCATTACTCAATTTCCCAAAGGAAGCAAACAATGGTCAGTAGAGGATTTTAGACAGGCAAAGATAAGGAGATCTGCTGTAAGATAAAGTTTCAGCTCTCTAAATGACAGTCCATGCACTGAGCAAATAAGGGAAATGTTTCTTTTTTTCCAATATAATTTCTTCCAGAGAACTGCAAATACAGCAAACTCTGTTAGCTTGAATCCATTTAAATGTATTTCAGTCCTGTAGTCCAAGCATGCAATACATACTGTATATATTATATAGCATCTGTAATAGTGTCACAAAATGCTTCACAGAAATACGAAACTTTGAACATACATTCATGTTTATATATTAGAAAGTGAGTCTAACACAAAGAGGTAACAACAACATACTAATCATTTTAAAGATGCACATAACTAAGGAGTCATACTAATATTCCATGTCTACTGTTTATTAAGCTGTAGTGTTCTATATTGCCTGGATTTAGAAGTATTTGTTAATGCAGCAGATTTCTCAGGCTCTTTCTTTTATTCAAAATGTTGTAGTGTATTTTTCTAAATTCTTGAAAATTATATATGCATATGTTGAAGGAAATCTATAAATAAGCTGTTCATAGATAAAATTATATAAGTCTTTAAATTGTTGCAGTTGTCTCTTTTCCACTCCTTTGTATTTTTACCTTAGCAACCAACATTTGCTGTTGGTTTTCAATCTGCTGCTGTTGTCTGGCAGCCATATCTTGAAGTTCTGAGAGTGTGAGTTCAACACGTGGATTCCCAACCTGCAGAAAGCACAAAGCACTACACTAAGATGATTATTTATTTACACACGTTGAATTTTGTGACATCAGAAACCAGACATCAGTAGTCTAAGAATGTTTTTAAGTCCCAATTAGAATCTAAAATACATTTTCTTTTTTTTCTTCCTCTGAGCTTTGCCAGAGTTTTATGCATTTGGACCACAGCTAAAAAGCAACCAACAAAGGGATTACAAATGCCACAAATCAGATTTTCCAGAAACACAAGATCAGAATTTCATAATACGTAATTTACTTGTTTGTTTTCTGTTTCTAGCTTTCTGAATACCCTTGGTTCTATGGGAGTATTGTTCTATATGTTATCTCTTGGACATGTACCAAATGTAACAAATACTTGATGTTCCCGGGTTTTTATTTTTTAGATGAGACTTTTTCCTTAATTATGGTGAACTATGTATTTTGTGAGCAAAAGCACATGCAGGAATTAATTTCTAACAATTATTATTCAAAGTGTAGTCTCTTTAAAAATCTAAGAGTCTTTCAGGCTCTTAAGCCTGGGGGGAGAGGTGGGCTTGAGAGCCCTAGCTCCAACCCAAGCCCACATCAAAGCACTGTCCTACACAGATATTTTTATAGCGCGGAGTCTCTGGACCAAGACTGGGAGGCTTGCTCCGAGAGGCAGTGCAGACATGTCCGCAGAGGGGCAGCAAGAGAGGCACCCCATCCCTAATAACAGCTCCCATAGTAGAAGAGGAAGGATGGACCCCTATAAGAAGGAAGGCAGTGGGAGGCAGAAGATAGATGATACCATCGGGAGAGAAGAGAATACAAGGCGGAAGAGAAAAGTTAACATGAAAAAGCAAGGAAGTGGATGAAGAAGGGAAGCAAATATGGAGAAAACAATGCTGCTACTCAAAGAAAGAGTAGACCAAAAGATAAGAGAAAAAGAGAACAACAGAAAACAGTACACAAAAATGAAAATGGTACAATGCCAAAGAAGGAGTAAGACAGAGAGACAAAAGGGGCGGGAAAGATAGAGAAGGGAAAAGCTGGAATAGATACATCTTTTAGGTTTGATAATTATTTATTTTAAATGTGTTTATTTTTATTGAATTTCTATGGCAGATTTCCAGTTTCTGGCCTAAAGGTTGTCTCTCCCACCCTTATTTAAATTGAGCAAGTTACATGTGGTGTTGTCATGAATCATCTCAGTGGTCCTCTCAAAGAAATCCTAAAGACCATTCTGACTTTTGCCAATACAGATATCAAAAAGAATGCACATGGGGCTTTTTTTGTTAACTTCCCAGTGAAAGTAAAGATTTTCACGCTTCAGACAGTCATGAAAATTCCTCATAAGGATTACACACAAGATGGCCATCACAAGCTTTAAAGAGTTAAAAATCCTATTTTTTCTCCCCCACAACAGCACATGAAAGCAGTTTTTCTCCAGTGGCAATAAATATTAATAAAAACGAGAAAAACAAAAACAAAATATAGGAAAGCTACCATTTTTTGATGAGCTATTACAGCTTAAGATCCATTTTTTGGCAGATTTAATATAAATTAAATTGAGGCCAACAAATTATTGTGCAGTGTTTTCACAAATTTTGCATGTGAAAGGTAACAAAAACCTTCACAAAACTGAAGCCAAATCATCTACTATTTGGGCAATTTTAACACTTTGTTAATGAGGAGCAATTACTGAATATTATTTACAATTTGTAAGGCACTTTCAAGATATGAAATGCTAAGTATTGTTTTAACAGGAATCTAATATACTATTCAAATTATTTCAATAATCTCATAGTCTTTTATTAAAAAAACCCAAGTCATTTCTACCTATACACTCAGGCCTTCTACTCTGTGAAACATGTTCATAAAAAGAATTTTTTTAAAAGTGGGAGTATAAAAAACAAAGCGAAAGTAAATTCCAAAAGTTGAAACTGCTCTCTTTCTCTCCAAATATCTGCTCTGCTACACTTAGATAAATGAATGTTGCAATACCAGAACTGCACTACATTCTTGTCAAACAGAACATAGTATGCCAACACCTGAATAGTTGGAAGAGTTGGTAGGCGAAAATAGTGCAACTTCTGTTACAACTGGTTTGAAATGTAATGCAATCAGTAAAGTTTAGTAATGAAACAGGCAGGGTATTGTGCTGGCATTGTAATCATTCTACATTCAGTGCAGCATTTGAGCCAATGTATAAGATTACATTATTAATAACGAAGTTAAATGTACACCATATCCTACCCCATTACAAGCACTCCCAAAGAAAAATCAAAGGAAGTTAAAAAGCGCTTTGGAAGTGTTGTGAGATGAAACTCAAAACAATGCTTACACAAGGGAAGAGAGATTTTAAGATTCATAGACAAGGCAAAGGAACAATCACAGGGAAATCTAAGACAAACCCCACATATCCTGGCATCTGAGAGGAGATCTGGTTCAGAGTCTCTGCTCCCTGGTCCTCCCAAGTTGCCTTGCATTATAGTTCTGTAATGATCTGAGCTGCCAACCGATCCTCTGCCATACCAGTGTCTTAGCCCCAACCCCAAGAGAGGAAAACTCCTGCTCTGAAATCCGCCAGGTAACAGAGAAACAGGGCACTTGAGTAACTGACCTCCAGCTCTGCTACACACTGCTCTGGAAATCTACAGATCTCCAGTCTTTGTGTCCCTGCAGAGTGGTTTCTTTGAGGTCCAAGTAGTGGGGAATGGAAAGCAATGATTTTGACAAGCTCACATTAAGGTGGGGTTTCTGCTTCTTTGTTGCCCTTCACAATATAGAATGAAAAGAAGCAAAGGTTCCCCTAGTCACAAGAACAGACTCATAAAACTACTGTATATTCATATTGCAACAGGGATTGCTGCATAGGAGGGGGGGAGGGAAGGAATGGCAAATAATGCATTTTAACATTTTTTATATTTTATATATAACAATATCTTAACAATATCACTAACTTCATAGTCTTCCTGAGAGGTCATACTTTACAACACAGAATATTTAAATGTTCCTTTCAGATGAGTGTCCTTTTTATCCAATAGCACCCAGTGATAGCATAATAAAAAGTAATATGCACATAGTCATTTCCTATTGTCAAAGCACTGCACAAACACTTAGCTAATCCTTCAAAACATTCCTATGAGTTAAGTATCCTTCCCATTTGACAGATGAGGAACAAACACAGAGGATAAGTTACTTGCCCAATGCTACATACTAAATCAATAGCAAAGCAAGGATTAGAACTCAGGAAGGTTTCATATTCTCATAACCAAACTCATTCCAGTACACTATTCTGCCTCAATATCTGCTAATTATTTCAAACTTTGTTTTTTGGGGGGTTTTTTTGACTGAATTACATTTCATTTTTATGTAAAGGAAACGCAAATGATTTCCATTCAGGTTTTTATTTTATATCCATCCTGAAATTCAGATTGGAAAGAATTTTTATAGACATTTTAATTTAGAAAACAAGCTGTTGGTCTGTCATCACTTACCCTACAGTAAATCAACAAATGTGCAAGTTTAACTATAGCCTGAATATATAAATTGTATATACTATTACATAAACTCACACATACATACACACACACAAAATCAGCTCAGATGCATGAAAGCAGTTCAGTCACTAGGGAGATCCAAATTTGGAATATTTCCTTTTCAAGCTGCTGAGGCGTCAGTATGATATAAACATGACTCACTTAAATTCCATAGGGAATTCCACTCTGTGAACACCTCCTGCTGGTCATATTATAGAGCAGAATTAGAGTTCATATTGGAAATAGTAACCCTGCTCCATGTAACCCTGCTCCTAGTAAATGTCAGCATCAATGGAAACTGTTTATAAAAGATGAATAGGTGATTAAACGGGTAGGGTATGGAATAGTGGCCCTAAAATCAAGGGGTATAAAAACACTTGCATAATGTCTAGATCAGATATAGAACACTTTGCTATTAATTTGATTTACCAAATGAGGGAAAATCCTAGATATTAGTAGTTTGTACTAATTTTTTAAGTAGCATGACTGTAACATAGACATCTTTTCCACGGTATTCTCCTTTATAGGTCTCATACCTTCTCTAAGCTTGCTGCTTACTATTACCATGAAATGGCCAAGACATTTTACAATGAGCTATATATTAAAGCAGGGCTCAAAATGAAAAAGAAAGTAGCAGTACTTTTCTAAGTTCCATCCACAAATCAGCATATGTTCACTTAAAGACACAAAGATAAGATACCAAAATGAAATGCTGCTCCTAGTATATTGTGCACATGTTGAAAATAATCACACGTGCTCTGTTGCGTTTCTTAGGCATGACTCCCTATAGGGCTCAGATACTCTCTGGGCTCAGCTGGTCTTCTTGGGCTTGGATCCCTCAGTTGGGCTCAGGATATCCCTGATCCTTTTTGTGTTTGGTGGACTTCAGGCTTGGCTCCTGACTGGTAGGGTGCAGATGCTTCCCGGTTCTCCCTGCTTGATGACTCCAAGGGTCAGAATGGGGAAAATAGGTAGTATTCTCCCATGCACCACAGACTTTATACAAAATGAGACACCACTTGCACTAAACTGTGCAGATCTGCAAAGTCCTTCCTTCTTGTATGCTTTGATCAGCAGTGAAAGTTGGCAATACTGACATTTAAATTATCATCCTTAAGCTTCAGACTGCCCCCTCTCTTCCCGCCTAAGACATATGGCAGCAATCCACATCTCTCAGAGCTATTGTTCAGAATGTCTGCAGACTCAGGAAAACATCGCTGCATCAGGTTATTTTGTTCACATTTTCAAGATCATCATCCCAACAATAAGGCTAAACACTTTTTTTTTTTTTCCCAAAATGAAAGCTCAGATCCTGGAGTACAAAATGACAATCTTTAAGAAAATAATTGGTTTTCAGAGCCACCACAAGCCATCCCAATTTGACTCCTGATAACTAAGAACTCAGTGCGCTACTCTAGATCAGTATGTTTTATGCATATCTTTTAAAATCTATTATTATGCTTAACACATGCCACAGCATAT